GAAGAGCATTCTGGTTGGGCGCATAGGTGTTAATAATTGACATCTCATCATGTTGAGTGTTTCCTTTAACAAATATAAAGTGACCATCCTTGTCTTTACTTACTTTTGTTGGTTTAAAGCCTAGTGTATCTGCAAATAAAATTGCCACCCCTACTTTTTTCTGATTTCCATTTGACTGGATTACAGATGCCCATCCCTTCACCCTCAGTCTGTATTTATCCTTTAAGGTAAGATGAGATTCTTGTATGCAGCAGATATCTGCCCAGAGTTTTTGTATCCAGTCAGCCATACTGTGCGTCTTAAACAGTTTAAGCTGTTCTCATTAATTGAGAGTATTGATAACCCTGGTAGTATTTGGGTGTCAAGGTTTTTGAAAGTCCAGTGGACATTTTAAATCTTTTCACCACTATGCAAATTGGGTTTTGGTCAAGAATTTCAGAGTGAGCTTGGATTGGTGGTAGAGCATTGTGCTGGTCATTATGGAGGATGGGTCTGATGCTGTCCTAAAGAGCTGGTTTGGTTATAGCAAATTTCTTCAACATGTGTATGTCATTAAAATATTTAACTTCTCCATCATAAATGAAGCTCAATTTATCTGGATACAGGATCCTGGGCTGAAAGTTATTTTGTTTTAGGAGGTTAAAGGTTGCAACCATCCTTTTCTAGCTTGAAAAGTTTCAGCAGAGAGATCTGCTGTCATTCTAATACTCTTCCCCTTGTAGGTTATGATTTTCAGGTTTGGCTGCCTGCAAAATTTTCTCCTTCTTATTAACTTTGGCAAAGTTAATTACAGTGTGTCTAGAAGATGCTTTATTTGGGTTGAGTTGTGCTGGGGTTCTGAAACTGCTGTCTGAATTTCAGTGTCTCTTGCCATGCTTGGGAAGTTCTCCTCAATTATCTCTTGGAGTAGGGTATCTGTGCCTTTTGGACCACCCTCTTCTCCTTCAGGGATTCCTATGAGGTGAATGTTCTTTTGGAGTGGTCCCAGAATTCTCTCTAGGAATGATCCATTTTTGCACTGTACTTCTCTTCCTTTTTGAGCGTTTGGGAGCATTCAAAAGCTTTGTCTTCAATGTCAGAGATGCTTTCTTCTGCCTGCCACATTCTGTTACTGAGGGATTCTACTATATTTCTCAGATTTTTGAGGGCTGTAAGTTCTTGCCTCAATCTGTGAAAATCTTTGGTGATTTTGTCTTTGAATTCATTGAATTACTGAGACAATTTTTGAATTGCTCCTTGAATTTCTAATCCCATCTTTACCTCCATTCTGTTAATCTTATTTTCAATCCAGATTCTGAATTTGATTTCTGACATCTTAGCCATTTGTTTTGAATGGGATCTTCTGTTATGTCTTCTTTCTCATTCCTTGGGGGCATCATTCTACTCTGATTATTCATGTTGCCAGGTTTTCCACTGATTCCGCCCCATAATTATTTTTCACCATTTGGCTAGAGAAGCTGGCAAGGTGAATTTGAATTGAGGGCTCCTGGAGTTGTAATTAACCAGCCCTTTACCAAAGACCTGGGACTGGTGATTGCAGCTTTTCCCTTAGAGCTTTATGACGGTCCCATTCAAAATTACTGCCTGAAACTCTGGGCACCTGCTTGATGTGCTGGGGCTAGGTATTGGCGCTGACCAGTATTCAGCTAGTCTCTGTCCAATCCTAGTGAATCAGTAGCTTTGGGCTGAAATCAGTAGCTGTGGAGCTATATAAGCAACTAAGACATCACGTTCCCCTCCCCCCCACAGGCAACAACTGGAAGGGGAGAATCCCACACTCCACAACAACACAACCAGGGTACAACTTTGGTGGGTCACTGGGTAATCAGCCCAGGTCAAGAGTTCCAAACCAATTGTCCTGATCAACACAAACACCAATCAGGTGGGAGAGTTCAAAAGGGCTTCAGCATCTAGGCAGCGGGGGTCCACTGGCAGCTCAGTTTGACCCCAGTGGGAGGGACCATGGAGCTGCTGCCACTGTCGTAGGTGGTGCTGCCAGTCTGGGGTACTGCTGTGTGCAGGTCACAGGAGCCAGTGAGGAGCTGGTGGGTATTGCCACCAGCTGCAAGGGTCATAGGAGCCAGGCTGGGAGCCTGAGGGTAGACCTGCTGACCCTGGCCTTAGGCCGCAAGAGCCAGGCAGGAAGCCAGAGGATGGAGGCCCAGCCTGGGACTTCAGGAGTCACAGGAGCCAGGCAGGAGTCATGGGCTGAGGGTCTCAGGAGCTGGGTGGGGAGCCAAAGGGTAGGGTCGCCAAGCTGGGCTGCAGGTCGCAGGAGCTGGGTGGAAGTCAATGGTTGTTGGTCCCAGGTCGCAGGAGCCGGGTGGGAGTCACCGGCCTCACTCAGGTCACAGGGGCTGGGCAAGGTTCACGGCTCCAGGCCGTGGTCGCAGGAGCCGGTGGGAGCCACCCGCCACGGGCCCCATAGGTCACAGGAGCCCAGTGGGGAGCCCAGCCACCCACCACAGGCTGCGGAGCCAGGGAGCCAGTGGGCCGTGGTCTCAGTGGTCGGTAATACGGACTGAGATATGTTCTTTCCAACATGGGGCAAGTCTCTCTCTCCTTGTGACTCCCTGCCTCTATTAAAGTTATAGTTTCAGCACAACTATCCCACAGCTCATGAGGTGCCCTGCCCTCACCAAAATCTGCCAAACTCTCTAGATTTTGCAGAGGGTAGTCTTCCAGACTGCCAGGAGAGGGGAGAGAGGTGGATTGGGAGTTCAGGAAGATAGGGAAAATATTAGATCAACTTTTAGCCCCAGCAGTATCTTTCCGTGGAAGGAGTCTCGGCCCTCAGTGTTCTCTCCCCTTTGTGAAACAAAAGGTCCTCTGTTCTCTACTCTCCTTAAGCCACTTTCCTTGGGGGTGGGGGGAGAGGAAGGATTCCTTTCCTCTTTGGGATGGGTTTTATACCTGAAATTTGTTTCCTTGGAGTCCCAGCTCATCACAGCAGGGGTGATACAAACCTATCCTCTATCGCATCTCAGCTCAGCTCCCGATTTTCCGCTTTATTGGGTTATTTCTGGCCATTATTTCTCCCTCTGGAGAAGAGCCTCTGCCTAAAGCTGGCTTTAGTCTGCCATCTTGCTGCCCTCTCCTCAGCATTTCTTGACTCTTGTTCTGTATTTAATCCTATAGCTGTTGTTTAAGTGGTAAATCTTGAGTGGTCTTGCCCAGCACATTTATACAGCCCAGTCTTTAGCTACTTTGCATGTTCACCAAAGATCTTTAAAGGCTGGGCCACTTTTATATTGACTTATTTTCCCCACTTGGCAGTTTATCTAAAAATTATCTTAAATTCTCTTAAGCATATATCTCTATGTTATCTGGATAATGGTTATATTATCCTTTGTTAAAACCTTTTCATAAAGTTAGATTATTTCATAACTATACTTGAAAATACCTTGCCTTCTTGCATGCTAAATTAGAGTTTTGTTTCTCCATATATATTTAACACAGACTGCTGGCAAATCTGTAAGTGAAATTTAGACAATGTTTTCATTCACTACTTTCCCATTATTTGGCCCCAAACTGTAGTTTGCCTTTTATAGATACATAAGTAGTAAGCCACTAGTGATGCTGTGGAGGGTTTGTTTGGGAGTAGATTTTCCTTCTAGTTCTTTCGGAAACCAAAGAATATGAGAACTAAAGAAACCATATAGACCATTTGGTCTAGTCTTTTAATTCTTACTTAGGAAAGAGTTAATGATCAGATGGCTTAAATCACTTGCCAGAGGTTATACAGCTAGTTAATAGAAGAGTAGAACTTACTATCCCAAGTGTCAAGGCATATTTATGCCATTTTCCCTATTGCTGGATATATACTATTACATGTTTTCTTAGCTATTTTTTTCTATCTTAATTATTTTAAAACAAAGCAGCAGATACATAAAAGTTACTATCAGTGGCGGACAATAGAAGTGGTGAAGAAGAAATATTTATCTTTTTCCCTTTTATCCTACCTTCATTTCTTTGCTTGAGAGACACGTCAGACTAAATGAAGGTAGGATAATCCAAAATGCAGTTGAAATTGGCTTTGTTGGCTCGGCGCCTATAGCTCAACCGGCTAAGGCGCCAGCCACGTACACCTAAGGTGGCGGGTTCGAATCCCCAGCCCAGACCCGCCAAACAACAATGACGGCTGCAACCAAAAAATAGCCGGGCATTGTGGCGGGCGCCTGTGGTCCCAGCTACTTGGGAGGCGGAGGCAGGAGACTCGCTTGAGCCCAGGAGTTGGAGGATGCTGTGAGCTGTAATGCCACGGCACTGCACCCAGGGGGACAGCTTGAGGCTCTGTCTCAAAAAAAAAAAAAAAGAAAAGAAAAGAAAAGAAATTGGCTTTGTTTGCCCAAAAGGATTTTGTTTATGGTGTCTTTGGGGAAATTATTTGCATTCTGAAGCCCAGGCTGATTTTTCTGGCACAAGACAAATCATCTCAGTCTCTTTTCTTTCTTGTGGAAGACTTTAGGACTCTACTTTTGTTCTTTTCTTCTAATTTTCTACCAATGCCCATGTAATCCTTTTAGTCATTATTATTTTGGATCAGCCTTCAGATAAGGGACTGTTGTTTTCCCAGCTTTTCCCTTTGTGCTATCAAAAATAAGGCATGTAGACTTTTTTCTGTTTAACAGTTTTATGATTTTGGGAAGGAAGATGAGCATTAATGTCAATAACAAACAAGAAAAGTTCTAAATTCTAAGAAATATGACATTTCGGCTGTGGCTCAAAGGAGTGGTGCACCAGCCCTATATACCAGAGGTGGCAGGTTCAAACCCAGCCCTGGCCAAAACGTGCAAAAAAAAAAAAAAAGGACCATTAAAGAAATATGACATTTCTTTAATTATGGTTGGTCTGTAGTTGATTTATTTGCTAAAATTGTACTTGGGGGCCTATTAGATTCTTTCTGCTCACTTATCTATTCCTTCGTTCAGTAATGTCCTAATCAAAGTCCTATGTGCCTATGCTAATGTATATACTTTTAATTTTTTGTGCTTCTATAGAAAATAAAGGACTCTACTTTTGATGACTGGAAGAATATTCGAGGACCCAGGCCTTGGGAAGATCCTGACTTCCTCCAAGGACGAAATCCAGAAATCCTTAAAACTAAGACAACTTGACTATGCTGATTCCTTTTTTTTTTTATTAATAAAAATAATATAAACTGTTCTTCCCACTACATACCCCTTTTTAGTAGAAAGAAAACTCCAGGTCCATGGAAACCTGGATAAAAGTAATTTGATGTTAGATAATCTTGATAAAATATCAGGTACAAGTCTTTACTGCTGAGCTATTCCATTTGCAAATAAAAGTAACAGTGTTGACCAGACTTACACCTTTCACAGAACACTGCTATTAAATTTTGTATATATTCTATTCCCCAACTACCCACCTGTATTTCTTTCCCACTAGGGGATCCCAGTAGGGCAGTTCTCAACCTGTGGGTCGTGCCACGTTAGATTGTATTAAAGGTTCGCAGCATTAGGAAGGTTGAGAACCACTGCAGTAGGGCATCATTTTGATACTTCATTCTGATTTCTTATTCATAGAATAGTAGATCTAGATCTGAATATTGAAAAAAGAATACTGATCAGAGTCTTGCTTTTATTTCTGATATCTCACATAGTGTGCTAATCTTGCACTCTCCAACCCCTGGGCCACAGACCAGTACTGGTCCATGGCCTATTAGGAACTGAGCCTCACAGCTGAAGGTGAGCAGCGGGTGAAGCTACATCTGTATTTATAGCCACTCCCCATCATTTGCATCATTGCCTGAGCTTTGCCTCCTGTCACATCAGCAGTAGAATTAGATTCTCACAGGAGTGCGAGCCCTACTGTAAGGTGCATATGGGAAGGATCTAGATTGTGTGCTACTTATGAGAATTGAATGCCCCCACCCAGTCTGTGGAAGAATTGTCTTCCATGAAAACTGGTCCCTGGTGCCAAAAAGGTTAGGGACTGCTATGTCAGTATGTCTCCAGTGCACCACCTAATGATTGTATTGATAACATGTCAACGAAATTATATTAATTCTGCCTAAGTAAAAAATCATGAAGTAATGCATGATTATAAGCAGATACGGTACATTTGTACAGGTAATCTACAAATGCCTAACATTGGGAAACAATGACTTAAGGTATAGTTTATGCTTTGGCATAATTTGTTTCCAAGGTGACTCTCAATTTTTCTTTTTTTTTTTTTTTTAACTTTGGGTTCACTGTGATCTGATCTCTAGGCAAAAGGAGAGAATTAAGGAAAGTTAGTTTTTCTGAACTTATTTTCTCCTTTTTACTCTTGTCCTGGGCAGCCTTGTTCCCCTAACAAGGTATTTTCATACTAACTTCCAGATGCCTAAAATCTCAATGGAAATATTCCCCCTATAATTGCTAAAAAATTACAAACCCACCTTAATCCTCCCCCCCAATCAAAATTTGTATTCTTTTCAGCAGTTTGGTTATAGCAAAAAGTAAAGTAAATTGATTATTGATAATTTATTATGGAGATGATTCATAGGAGTTATCTGGAGAAGCCATTGGCTTTCATAGGCAAAAAACAAAACAAACCTCTACCTAAACACATTCTTTATACAAAAGTAACTGAAAAATGAATCATTAATTTAAATGTAAAGCATAAAACTATAAAACTTTTAGGAAAAAGCTGGGCATGGTGGCTCATGCCTGTAAGCCTAGCACTCTGGGAGGCTGAGGCAGATGGACTGCTTGAGCTCTGGAGTTGAAGATCAGGCTGAGCAAGAGCAAGATCCCATCTCTACTAAAAACAGAAAAACTAACTGGGCACTATGAGAGGTGCCTTAGTCCTAGCTACTCAGGAGGCTGAGGCAAGAGAATCTCTTGAGCCAAAGAGTTTGAGGTTGCTGTGACCTGTGATGCTGCAGCATTCTATCCAGGGTGACAAAGTGAGACTCTGTCTCTAAAATAAAAAAAAATTAAACTTTTAGGAAAAAAACAAGAGAAACTCTTCCAGATCTAGTGAATAGTTCTTGATGAATAGCTCTTACCAAGAAATATTCATAAAAGATAAACTCAGCAGATTAACCTCGTCAAAATTAGTAGCTTTTGCTTACCAATAAAATTGATAAACCTGTAGTCACACTAAAGAAAAGACAGAAATTACTGAATGATAGGAAGAGCCGAGATGGCAGCAAAAGACATTAACTACCAGAGTATTTCAGTAAGAAGGATGTTTAAAGAGATGAAAGAGAAAAAAACAAATATAGATCAAGTGTGAGTCTGAAGGAAGGGTGCCTCCTGAGGAAGCTCCATGGAAAGTTGTGGAGCAGAACACAAAGGAGCAAGCTATTGGCAGAGATCAACTGAGAGGCTTGGAGCCCCATGAGAAGGGTAGGTGGAGTGGTTTGTTTCTCTCGCCCTTGCATCTCTGACAGTGGATTTCTAAGCTGCTGGAGAGACTTTCTGAGCACAACAGCCCAGAAGCTTCTGTCCCCAGTGAGCTGGGAACTTCTAGTGGACAGCACTAACCTCCCTGGGGCACCTCCCATTTCTACAGACCTGAAACAGTGGCAGGCACCATATCACTTCTGTACCCACTGTGCTCCTTCGTTCTACTCAGGGGACTTCAATCCAGGTTCCTCTTGCTCCTTAACACACAGACATCCCAACTTTGGCCCAGACTGCAGGAGTCACAGTGGGACCCAAGTGATCTTAACTCCAGTGCCTTGACATTCTGGGTGGGCAGCTTCTAAGGGAGAGGAATAGGCACAAAAATAATGTCAGCATTACCTCCACCCAGACCTTTTCTCCCCTTTCCCCTTTCCCACCCACAAATGCTGAGACAATTGAGCCACACACCAATGCTTCTGCAGAGAGTAGGGCACAGACCTTTCCTCTAGGAGTCCTGCAGTGGGCTGAGGGGTGCTCAGACTGTGAGCTCTCTGCCTGCTGGCTCTCCTTGGTGCTGCTTGCCCAGTGATTACATCAGAGTGGGGTGTGCCCTGAGGTAGAGGGACATCAAATCTGCTTGGGCACCCAGTAGGCAACTTGAGACCAGTGCTCTTCTCATTGTCATGGTTAGGAGAAGTTCCCTTATTTGGGGATCCACAGGCCAGATCCCATGCCCCCAGGTCTCAATTGTCTCACTCAGAAGCACAGAAGGGAGATTTCTGAATTAACCTCAGGAGGGTGCTGGCATGGGCAGATTGGGAGGAGAGTGCAATGTGGGTCCTAGCCACAACATGTTTGTGGGACACCCTTCCCCCTACAAGAGGGCTGTAGTCTCAGCTCAGGCCAGGATCTTGGGTGAGGAACCGCTTGGCCCACATTATAGTCTGGGGGAGCTTGGTGTGAGGGCAAGTTCACTCAGCCCGCCCAGCCATACTTCCTCCACCTACCTCTGCTGTCACACCTGGAGTTTCCAGGACTCCAACTACCACTTGGTGCTTCTGAGGGACTAGAATTGATCACAGGACCCCAAAACGACATTGCCACGTGGTGCATCCAGCACACACCACTCACAGACAGGTCAATTTGCACATCCTTTACAGCCTTTCCTGACGCAGTTATACAGGGTGTGGTTGAGTCTCACCCACAAGCACCACCTTCTGTCTCAAAGATTAAACAGGGTGTGCCATTACCTAAACAAAAGAAAATCCCAAAATAACAGCCAACAGCTGCGCCAGATGAGAAGGAATCAGCAAAAGAACACTGAAAACATGAAAAATCAGAGTGAAAGGAAACCCCCAAAAGAAAATAACTCTGTACCAATGGAAACCAACCAAAATGAGAATATTGAAATGATGGGATAAATATTTTGAATGTGGATTACAAGGAGCTGAATACAAGAGAAAATAGAAACCGAACACAAACCACAAAAACAATTCAGGAAATGAATGAAAAACTCACTAAAGAAATTGAATTACTTAAAATGAAGCAAAGCTTCAGGAAATGAAAAATTCAAGGAAATACAGAACACAGTGTAAAGCCTTAAGAATAGGCTAGCTCAGATGAAAGAATCTCAAAGCTAGAAGACAATACCTTTGAATTAAGTCAGTCAAACAGAAAGAACAGAGAAACAAGATGAATGAACAGCACCTACAAGAAAAATGGGATTGTATAAAGAGGCCTAACATAACAGTCATAGGCATCCCTCACAAAGTGAAGAAAAAAATATACAAGGGCTAGAAAACCTATTTGAGGACATACTGGAGGAAAATTTCCCAGGCCTTGCTAGACTTCTGGACATCCTGGTGCTAGACACTGAATGGAATTCTGGAAGATTAATTGCCAAGAAGCAATCACCACAACATACAGTTATCAGATTGGTGAAAGAGGAACTCCTATGAAACAACAGGTGAAAGCATCATGTAACTTACAAAGAAAAACCCATCAGATGAACTGGAGACTTCTTAACTGGGACCTTATATACCAGAAGAGACTGGGGCCCCATACTCTGTCTTCTCAAACAAAATAATGGCCACCCTAGCCATAGGCTAGCCATTCTAATAAAATTAAAATTTTGTATACTACAAAACTAAATTTTTTATATGGAGGAGAAATAAAGACTTTCTCAGACAAGCAACACCTGAAGGAATTTGTCAAGACCAGACCTTCCCTGCAGGACATACTCAGATCACTGGCCAGCCCAATAGAAACCCACTAGTGTAAAATCATCCGAATGCTAAAGTTCAGAGCCCAGATAATGCAGTGGCTCAGGGGTAAAACAAAGGAGTAAAGCTCACACACCAGGATAAACAAAAATCTACTCCACTTACCAATTCTTTCCATAACTATGAATGGATTGAACTTCCCTCTCAAGAGACGTAGGCTGGGTGAATGGCTGAAAAAAAAAAAAAAAAAAAACTACAAGCCAAGTATCTGCTGTCTCCACTAAATGCATCTAATCCATAAGGAATCATTCAGATTCCAGGTAAAGGAATGGAAAACAATATTCCATGCAACTGTGCTTGTAGCTCAGTAAGTATGGCGCCCAGCCACATAACTGGTTCGAACCCAGCCCAGACCAGCTAAAAACAAGAACGACAACTGCAACAAAAAAATAGCTAGGTGTTGTGGAAGGTGCCTGTGGTCCCAGCTACTTGGGAGGCTGAAGCAAGTGAATCGCTTAAGCTGAAGAATTTGAGGTTGCTGTGAGCTGTGATGCTATAGCGCTCTATGGAGGGTGACATAGTGA